CTCTATTCCCAATCGTGCATTGTACCGCGCGAAGTAGGAGCTTCTTCTAACCAACCCACTCTATTCCCAATCGTGCATTGTACCGCGCGAAGTAGAGCTGACTTAAGCATTTCAGAGGAAGGAGACTTGGGAACGAGAAAGCCAAACTGGGCTTCATTCTGATCCTCTTATTAAAAAGAAAAAAAAATCAAAACAGGAGTACTACTCAGTGCACTCAACGACTTTCCCATTCCAGCTAACGAAGACCCCAGGTTCAACCACAGACGGCCGGGGACGCGACGAAGTCTCAGAGTCCTCCAGCTCCTACAAGGGCTAGGCCCTCGCTGTCCCCATACTGCAGGGGACCATGCACCCCGGAGCCTCTCCCCTTCCCCGGCGCGGGCTGCGGGGGTCCCCCGTCCTCCAGGCTGCCCCCCAGCCCGGCGAGCCCGAGGGCTCACCCTCGTCCGACTCGCGGCCCCGACAGCTGCGCTCGTCGTCCTCGGCGCTCTCCAGCTCCTCATCCTCCTCCGGGTAGTACTCCGGGGCCGGCGGCGCTCCAGCCGGGGCCGGCGCCGGAGCCAGCAGCCCCGCGGCACTCATGTCGCCTCCGACCGCGGCTGACTCTGCCCCTGAGGAAGCGCGGCACACGCGCCCGGGCCCCAGCCCAGCAGGGTCCCAAGGCTCCCCCAACTCCCGGAGGGGGAGCCGCGGTAACCCCTTCCCAGTTTGCGCCGAGCTCCGCCCCCCCCGCGCCCGCGCTCGCGCTCGGCAACGGGGACCTCAGGAGGAGGGCGACTTCCGGGTTGCGAGCTGCCCGACAACGGCCTGACCCAGCCATCCTTGAGAGATGGAGAGAATGCCAGACTCTCCTCTCTCCAGATCTCTAGACCCTTCATCAATTTCTTAATATTCGCACGGGTGGGGGTGGGAAGGGGTGGAGGCAGGCTCTCTAGAGTTAGGCAAATCTCTGGACAGCCCAAGCCGCGGTCAGGACCCCGAACCTCAGCGGACATTCCAGAAATAGCCGCCAGGCGGCGACCAGAGCCAAAATTCAACCACCGTTCATAGGCGACCTGAGGGGCGGGAGGTTGGCCTCGCCCTTGGCAGGTGGGACTGATCTCTAATATGAGCCAGTGAATGGCGTGAATTGTCCTCTTAATAGGTCGGGAAACCCAGACGGCCAGAGTGTACGAGATGATGCAGAAAAAAAGGAATCCTGGCTCCTCCCCTGACTAATTGGACCATTGTTAAGAACTAAAAGACTGGGATGCTGATATTCCATCCTAGGATCAGCAAAACCGTATTTTCTCACTTCTTGGGAATCTTTTCTGTTGTATGGGTTTACTCGATAAGGTGGGCTCAGGATTTTACAGATGACAGAAGACCTGTCACTTGCCTTTTAAAAAATGGTACCGTCCGTTCTGCCCGGTTTAGCTTCCAGACCTAGGCCCTCCGCACAACAACTGCCCCATATTTCTTTGAATATTATTTTTTTTATTTTGTCTAATCCAAAAGCTTGCTAACTAAGCTTGCTCAGTTTAGCAAGTGAACCATTTGCCGGTAGCAAGTAATTTGGCTAAAACTGAGGAAACAAGAAACCTGAGTATCTATGAATTTATGATTCCCTCTGAATACAATGGGGCCACAGTGCTGTAAACTTTGCTTAATGAATTTAAGGTGTTACTTTCAGTGAGAATAGTCCTGTCGAGTTGTGTGTATCAAGAAAAAGGATTAAGGAAAAGGGCCCAGAGGTGTTTAAAGGCTTGGGCAAAATAATCCCACTCTATGTTGCACCCAAGTTACCACAGAAGCAGTAAAACTGAAGACAGAGTTGGAAGCAAAGGTGAAACCAATGTACTCTGATTCTTGGGCCCTTTGTGATCAGATTTATCTTGCAGCTGGCCACCAAGGAGTCTTCTAAAAATGAATAACCTTATTCTCGTCCAACTTCTTTTGACATTTCTTATTTACTACCTTGTTTTAATTAAAATGTTGACTCTCTTTGTAAGGGTTATTTCTTCCCAACAAAAACATAAGAATTTGCAAAATGGAATGCTACAAATGTCTTTCCAGGAGTACAGAGATCTTCTGAAGTTCCTTCTAAATAAAAAGACTCTCAGGGCTCACTGTACATCTGCCATCCATGTTTAAACTAGGGTTTCAGAATTGTCTGCTATCCAAGGATGAAGTCATTTTCTATTTTTGTGCAGTTGAATCACATCTAAATTATTTGTAATCAACAGCATTGAACAACTTGAGTTTAACAGTAGCAATATTCATAAAACAGAAAAAGAACCAATAACATTTTAGAAATCAAAGTTCATTAATGTAATGAACCCCAAAAAGTTGATTTCAAATGGTTTCAAGATATTGGAGTTTTGTCTTGCTTACGTTTCATTTCTTTTTTTATTGGATCTCTTAGTGGTCATGCATTTTTTGTATGTAATAGAGACACAAATTAATTTCACACTTAGGTGGTGAAAATTTATTCTATCTTTTCAATCCAGAGAACTGGTAAGATGAGCTCTTAGCTAATAAGTGGAGAAACCTGCTTTAAAAAATATTGTCATGGTATACCCTTAGGTAAAATAAATGGGACACACATGTGTAAATACTGACTAGTTTCTCTGGTGTGTAAAACTAACAGTGTAAATTAGGATCAAAATCTGTAATAATGTGAAATAGGAAGAAAAGGTCCAAAGGGAAAGGGGAAGTGGGAGAGGTCAGGGAAGGGAAAGGAAAAAATATGAGAAAAGGAAAAAACGGAAATGAAGTCTTTGTAAATAGGGAGGGGTGGAGGGGTTGAAGGGAGGCCAGGGGAATGGGGAAAATAGAAAAAGCAAGATATATCATGTAAAGATACAAGTTCCCAATGATGAATGTCATCATATTGTATACCTAAAATGTACCAGTAAACTTAATAAAAAAAATTCTATCACGGCTTTAGTCTTACTTGTCCTTTATTGTTGTTTAATATGATTTGGAACAGCCTCAAGTTTGTAATAATCAAGCTCCCTCAGAACTAAGTTTTACCAACTGAAATCTTTCTCTGCCTCTCTTCCCAAAATGGTATTCAGCCACACTGCTAGTGAGACACCTACTTCAGGACTCAACCTAAACCCAAGTCCTGTCCACCCTGTTTTAACAACTTTTTGTGCCTTCCAGGCATTTCTACATTGCCTAACACTCAAACTGTCAGGGCGTCGTAATTAGAATGAGGGACAATTTTTAAACAACAGGAGAAATGTATACTGTTTAGAACACAAATTTCATCAGCAAGAGTTCTTGAAATAGGAAATGATGTTCATGAAATGAAATAATTTCTTCATAAAATGCTGTATTTTCCAAGTCTATGAACTTTAGGGTTTAAAAGGACTGCAGTTTTCAGTTTGCATTGTTGATTTCATAATATATCTAGTTTAAAAAAATTTTAAAAATGGCCCTGAGTAACGTGACATATTTCAACCCTAGAAGGTACTGTCTTTCAGCTTGGGTCAAGATGGGCCCCTGTATATCACAGGTTGCACTTGGGTCAAAGCTCAGTAACCTTTGGCAGTTAGTTCACACAGAATCATTGAAACCTGTGGGCCTGGAAAAAGTTATGTTGAATGTGCTGGCCAGAACCTTGTTAACGCTAACAGGAGTTCTACCACAGTTCTTGTTCCTGTCATAAAACCCCCCAAAAATGAATATTTAAGTTCTGTCCTTGGACAGAAACATGACCAGTCCGTGTCGAACGTGTAGTTGTACAGAGAATGCACCTACTAGTTTTTTTTCCCCCAACAGTATTAAACTGACGTCTGCTGAACGCAATGGAAGAAAAGGCAACTCCCCTGCCAGGGATCCAGGAAATATTTCCAAGTCCTAGGCGAATAAACGGTCTATTAATTTACAGCAGAATTACTAAAAAGGCTAAGAAATACGTCCAGCGAGAGAGCAGGATCCTCCCTCAAAATTTCTGGCCTGGGGGTCTCCCCAAAAAAGTAAAGGCGTGGGGAGGAGTACCCTGAACTTTGACCCCAGAGAAGCACAAACATGACTAACCGCACCCCAGGCGGGACCTGCGGTAACTGAAGTTGCAAAGTCTTCCGCGTCTGAGGAAGCCCCGCCCCTGCCTGTCCCTCCCACCATCAACTCCGCCAATCCTCGGGCACCATCGACCGCTCGGCTTCCCAGGCATGTCGAATCGAATGCCTATATCCGGCCTCGGTCCAATGCTCTGCGGTCAGGGAAGGTCAGTAGAGAGCCTATCGGAGCAGAGCTGGGGGCGTGGTCAAGGCAGGGGGCGGGCGGACCGAGACGGTGGGGCGGAGCACGCTCGGCGCAGTCGGGTGCGATTGGTCACCCCTGGCAGGAGCCGCACCTCGGACAGCAGCGGCGGCGGCCGCGGGAGGGTCTGGGTGGCGCGGGACGTGGGGTCCAGTGTGGAGAGTGGAGCGCGACACGGAATCCGCGGGCAGAGGCTGCGCGCGGCCGGATCCGGCACCCAGAGACCCGACCCGGTGGTCCGCCAGGGGACACGCCGCCGGAGCGCGACTCGGGAACAAGTGTGAGGGAGAGGAAGCGGCGGCGCTGGCGGCGGCGGCGCCGGGCCCGGAGGTGGTGACAGCAGGTCTAAGGTGAGAGCAGGGGGCGCGGGGTGGTGACAGCGTGCGCCCAGGCGAGGGGACCCTGGACGGAGTGAGGTTGTGCACCACCCGAGCAAGGGGAGTTCCGGGAGCGGCTCTGACAGGGTGCACTGTGGCGGGGAGACCCCAAGAGGGACCGGGACGTCGGGAGGAGCGGAGGGCACCCAGAGAGGAACCAGGACGGTGGGATGAGGGGAGAGGTAAAGGGAGCGAGGACAGCGGGGCGAGGGAAAGGGTCCCCGAGAAGAGCTGGGGCAGGGTGAGGGAAGGGCACCCCAGAGGGACCAGGAGAGTGGAGTCGCGGGAAGGGTCCCAAGAAGGGGTGAGGGCTGGGCACCCTGGGAGGGCCGATACCGAAAGTACAGGAGAGACCCTCAAGGGCCAGGTTAACGGAGGGCACCTTAAGGGGGCTTAAGACAGGAGACCCAGAGGGGCGCGGGGGGGGGCGGGGCGGGGCCCCTGCCCTGCGCACTGCGGGCCTGGGGCAGAGAGGGGCGGGAGCCCGGCGCTGGCCGAGTTGCGGGACCCCCCAAGACTGCCGCAGTGGGGAGCCCGGGTCCGGGTAGCGGCGTCAGCTGAGTAGGAACTGCCGGCCGCACTGACGAGGGGACGCGGGCGCTGCTCCCAGGTCTGGGAATCCGCCGTCTCCTTGAGGGAAGAGTAGGGGGACCCTGCGGAGCCGGGGTTATATAATGAAACCTCCCCGGAGTGGAACGCAGGGGCTCGAGGGGCTGGCGGGAAGAGCTTGAGAAAATCTAGAGTTGTGCTGCCTGACCTCTTCTCGCTCGCCCGCTGGCTTCCGATTCAGTTCTGAGTTTGATGTGGATCCTTGAAAGTGGGGGATTCCTGACCTCAGTTGAAAATGTTGGGTAGAAAGTTGGGAGAGAGCTTCTCCAGCCCACTCCAAGAAGTTGAAAGGGAAAGGGATCCTTCCTTCCAGAGAGCCACATTTTGGATTAATTAGGATGTTTATTTTCATCTTTATATTTTCCTGCACTGCTGGATTTGGATTTTTTTGTTTTTGTTTTTTTTCATTTTAACTCAAAGAGTTAAGAAACTTTTTTAGATTTGGCGGCACATCAGTATCAGTGTTTACAATGGAGATTTTAAGGGACTGTACTGTATACTAGGTTTGGAAT